TCTTGACAATGGCACAGGCACCTTGTACGGTCGCACCCGCAGATGCGCAACATTGCCTTCCTGCACCTCCCTAAACCATCGCCGTCCCAAGTTCCCAATGGCCCCCTGTTCATCACATTATCCAAGTTAGCACTTTTCAATCACCATCAATCCAGCATGCACCCTCACCCGACACAGCTCATTCCAGTGAAACTCCACCTCATACTCAATCGACCCACCCTTCCACCTGAAGTCCCCTGCACCACTCTCCACAAACGCTTCCCTCATCTTCGCCAATCCTCCCATACACTGACTATACTCTTCCATCTTCAACTCAAGCGTCTCCGCATTCCACCTCTTATTTGTTCCCCTGTATGCCTCATCCAACAACCCCATCACGATTTTCCTCCCTTCCACCCCTTTCGAATACTCCTTCGATATCTTCGGAAGTTCTCCCTCGAACCAGAATACATATTCCTCTCTGCCGTCCTTCCAACATTGCCTCAGAACATCATGAAGCATCTCCAACATCTCCATAAATGTCTCTTCTCCACCAATCTCTCCCAATACTGCCGCCATCATCGCAAATGTCACCACCATTACTGGCGCTGCCGCCTTGTTGTTCTTCTGGTATGTCGTCCCCCCCGCGCTGACCCAGAATGGCTCATTCGTTCCTTTAGCCAATATAACCTCGGGAATCCAGTGCTGATCCTCCGCCGTCATGTTCATGAATGGCGCTCCCCCTCTTCTCATCTCCGAATCTAAATACCCCTGCACTCTCTTCACCTGCTCCCTCATCCCGGCCATCGTGCGTATATTCCCCTCAGGGTCCAGAAACATGCCAAATAGGCCATCCTTCATCAGCGACTCGTCGTCCCGTGCCAGAAATGCCTTCGCCTCAGCTCGTGTGACATGAATCAGCCTCGCCAATGCCCGAGGAACGTTCCACCTCAGTAACTCCTGCACGCCCTCAAGAAATCTGCTATTTGTCAGCATGAATGCCATCACCTGTATGTCCATGCATCAGAATCACATTCAAATGCAGCTTCAGACTTCCGCTCATACTCACTTTCTCCCATGTATCTGATATCCAATTCTTCGAGTTTCCAAGCACCGTTCTCAGTGAGTGCCAAGCTGTATCATATCCATGCTTCTGCTGCCCTTGAATGTAAGGCAGCATCGGTTCAATCATCAGCCCAACCTGTAATCAATCATCCCCTCATTAGCGATCAACTCCACCAAGCACAATCACATATGTCATCTCGCAACCAAATCCGTGCGCGGAGTTCGTCTCTCACTTCCCTACATCCTGTCTCATGATCCCAAGTGCTGACAAACTCCGCATGCGGATTTCGTTCATCTCCTCTCACATGTGGCTCATCGCGCAGTCGTCGACAAAGTCCGCATGCGGATTTTGCCTCATCCATACACTTCAAAATCTGCATGCGGATTTCACTTCGAACCCTTTCAATGCATCATAGCACTCACCAATTGAATCGCTTCACTCGCTTCTGAGAACTCTTCCACAGATCGCATCATGTACCCCGTCGTCAGCAGCTCCGTCGCCGGATACACTTGCCCTTCATGCCACTGAAGCCGTGCAAGCCTGCTCGAACACTCCGCCTCATCAACCCCCCCTCCTTCTACCCACCTCTTCCTCATAATCCCCCGAACCTCATCCCAATACTCTTTCCGAGCCTCCATCCAGCTCTCATACCTCGCAAGCCCTCCCTCCTTCCTCAACTCGAAGATCTCCCACCACGTCTTGTCAATCTCTTCCAGAGCCAACCCATCGTATCTTGACGCATCAATCTTCGTCGTGCCCCAATCCCTCCGGATCTCTTCTCCCACCTCCCCAATATCAATCACCCGCATACGGGTCTCCAGATCCAACTCTTCTCCTTCCAACAGCCCTTTCTTTCGCCTTGAGATCTCCTCCCATTCCCTCAACACATCCCGAACCCTTTCCTCTCTACCCATAAATCCCACTCGACACAGGTCCTCCAGCTCCTTCACTGCCGTTCTCACCATATGCAGTATCACCTGCAACAATGTCATGCCTGGTCAGCACTCTCTCTTTTCTTTTTCCTATCGCAATCACTTACCCCACCCCACATCGTCTTCACATCGTACTCCTCCATCCCTCCCATCCATATTCCTCCACTCCAGAAATACTCAAACTCCAACAATCGCGACATCACCTCTATCCATTCCTCATCCTTCAACACCTCCCTCCACTTCTTCTCCTTCACCCATGCCACCTTCTTTACGCCCTCATTCCATTTCGAGCTTCCTGCCTCAACTCCCAAATCTTTCAACTCCTTCGACTTCTCAATCACCTTCCTGAATGCACGCGTCATTCGCTCCCCACTCATTTCCTCCACCCTCTCCCTCCGATCTTTCCGTCCCAAATACTCTCCAAGCCCCACCCGCCCTTCAACCTTCCCTGCAGAATCAAATCCCATTTTCGTTAGCTCTCTCTCCCTCCACAGAACTCCCCGAATACTCACTTTCGTCAAACACCTCCACCACCCATGTCCCGTACTTCCCAACCGTCATCTCAATCTCCCTCACTCTCTTCTCTGCCCTATCGTACTCCTCGTCATACTCTCGCTTTCCCTCTCCATACTCACCCATCACCTCTTCCAGCCGTTCCGCTTCACCACACAGTTCATCGTCCCACTTCGCCCAAGCCATTCCGTATTCTTTTCCATTCACTACCCACATCTTTCCCCCAATCCTCCCCTCCCCACCCTTCCCTTCCACATACTTCAGCTTTCCAACATCCACAACTTCATTCCTCAGACATCCCTCCTTCAACTCCTCCGCATACACCCCAATCGCAATTCGGTTCTTCACGTACTCCGCCCCCATTCCTTCTCGCAAGCTTCTCGCCAACTCCTCAACCCGCTCCGAATCAACTCGCCCCTCACCAATCTCCTCAACCTCAAAATATACCCTCTTCTTCTGGACCTCTGATGAAACTCCCCGCCGAGACACCATCCGATCCCCCGATCCCACAACAACTGCCAATCCGTATCCCAGGAATCCCTCCACTGCCGCACTGTGCATCACTACCGCTTTCATCATCTCCTCACTCACTCTCCCGTACTCAACCCCCTGCAGTATTATCACAATCAGTCTCCTCTCACCCACTGCTTTCTTTACGCACCTCTCCTGTACTCTTCACTCCTCTCTGCCGTCTCTTCCTTATCTTCTCCACCATCTTTCGAGCATCAACTACTTCTGGCGTCCCTGCTATCTGTCCGCCGTCTATCTCTGCCTGCATCCATTCTCATCAATCAGCCCCAGCTCTCCAATCAATCACACAAATCCTCATCTACTTACCTCTCCTGACTCCATCATCTCTCTGCTCACACTCTCCACTATCTCTTCTCTAATCTCTTCCATCTGTCCTCACCGTTCCTATCAGTACTCATTCTATCCACTGAAATCTCTATCCGACATACCTCTTTTCGGCCTCTCCTCGCTTTCATCTTCCCTTTACTACTCCGCCTCCTGCTCTTCGCTTTGCCTGTGTTTCGTTTGCCTGACATCTCCTATCGGTCAAGATCAGTGAAGGTCAGTTCAACAGTTCCTCACCACATCCAACTTCACCATCTCCATCCTTCGCCCACATCGCCATCAATGTAACCCTAACCACATTCGGCCTCTACGGGTATAATGCAATACCAAAGAATATATATATATATCTCTATCCATTCTGTCCTATACATAATACAGTATATATGAGCAAATATAACACTCTTTAACCATCTCTCGGTGACCCTATCTATGTACACGCTATCTACTGCTGGTGAGACACAGATATTCACAATTATGTCAAGACTGCCACCAATCAACTACCACATCTGACAACCTCCAATGTTCATTCCATCATCACTTATCAATTGAATAAAATCTGTGTGCGGATTTGGCCTTGAGAGATGAATTCCGCATGCGGATTTGGTATGGAGAGATGAATTCCGCATGCGGATTTGGTATGGAGAGATGAATTCCGCGCACGGATTGCGTCTATAATAATATTACTTGTATCCGCATCAACATAATCCGCACACGGATTGTGTCAACACCTCGTACATGCATCATTTCAATTTTCACCAATTGACATTCTCAATTTAATGCATGGCTTCCATCAATTCAATCACTCCATCGACATTGCTCTTACCAGAGTCCATACTCATATCTTATCTGTACTTTGACCCATACACTCAACAAAATCTGCATGCGTACTTCACATCAACCTCTTCTCCCATCCTGCATACTTGTCCAATTTCGTATCTCTGCTTCATCTTACCATATATCTCATCATCATCTCCCCACTTCAACAAAATCCGCATGCGTACTTTGTAACTACTCAACTCCTTTATCCTCTATATCAACCAGGTTAGGCTTTCCCTCCACAGACGCTCGTCCACTTCGCCCTAATCCCTGACGGCTTCCTAACCCTGATTCTAATACATTTTTCTGTATAAATCGTCGAGAACTTCAGGGTGTTGCCCATGGAGGGCAGGTCAGGATGGGTCAAGCCCCTACGCAACGCCAGGTAAAATTGCTGAAGAATTGAGTGTCAGTAGATGTTTGGTGTACAGAACTCCGTCGAAGCCGGAATGCGCATACACTCTGGCTGAGTGGCCTACGAAGTCAGTCAATGTGTTCGAGTGTCACTCATCCATCCAGGATGGAATGTACACATGACCATTTTGAGCCTCGTCATGCCAGGAGGGAGAGCAGCCGGGTGTTCCCTCCAGGACGGAATGCGCGCACTCTGCACAAATTGGGCGGCAAGTTTTTGCTGCGTGTGGTAGGAACGAGCCTTCCGTCCTGGACGGACAGACTGCTCGCCCAACCATTTTCTCTGCCCAGCCCAGTCTTCGTCGCCGCCGTTCCGTCCTGGACGGAATACCTGCGTTCACCACACATTGAGAGCCTTGTGATGCGCCCAGTTCCGTCCAGGACGGACGACGACGTCCAACAGATATTGAAATTATTCTACTCACCTCTCCGTACGCCCGAAGACTCTTCCCATTCTCGACCTCCTTCTGCACACCTTCCATGATCGCCTCGACCTTCTCCATCTCATCGGCAGGCAACACCAGCAGCAACTTATGATGCTCGTAGGGAGGCAGGCCAATAATCGGTTTCTTGTTGTTGTCCTCAGAGTGGATCGTCCGGCGAACCACCATTCCCGCGAACCGCTTCCGCATCACCATGATCCACTTCCCACTCACCAGCGCCAGCTCCGACTGACCTTGCCCGTCCTCTCCGTGAGAGAATTTCTTCACCGCTTCTAATGCCTCTGCCAGTCGACGTTGCTGTCGATCCTTCCGAGCAGCGCGATTCACTTCTCGCCCCATGTCCTTGTACTCGGTCTCGCCGTCGAAACCTGGGACACCCAAGATCAATGCTACATGCCACAGGTCCTGCACGTATATTTCTCAAGTCAGCTACCTCCATTTGCTCAGTACATCAATGCTGAACACGCACCTGTGGCTTCGTCTGCACCGGAGTCGCAGACATCCCAATGTAGAACGTGCAACACTCTCTCAGCTTCTTCGCCGCGAAGAACGCCGTCTTGATATTCCGGTTCTGGTGGATCTCGTCCCACGCCCCAACCAGGAACCGCTTTGTGAAGATCAACGCTGCCGGATTCGCTCCAACGATATTGATCGGACCCATCGGCTGCTTCCCACTGAAGCCCAGCTCTCGGCCATCCGAACTCACAGCCTGCTAACCTGTCAGCCTTCATCCTCTAGTACCACACCTTGAATGTACTCACCGTCGCCGTCGCAATGACCAGTCATCGAATCTGAGGGAGCTTCGAGAAGTCCCAAAACTTCGTCCAGAACTCCGGTCACCCCTTCAACGTCCCGTCGTAGATGAAGATGTCGAAGGCCCCTCGCCTAAGGTACCGTTGGCACTCGTTCTCTACCTGCGCACGCAACGAGAACGGCACCACCAGAACATGTCCCAGGTCGGGGATCTCAGCGTTCCCCGCAAACGTCTTGCCTCCTGTATCCATATTCAATACACAAAACATTAGCACCGACCAATGGACACACAAAGATCCACACTTACGAAACCACCCAGGATACTCATTGCATTTGGCGTAGAAAGAACGGTAGTGCGCCAGCATCGCCATAACCCCTATAACCTGCAACGTCTTCCCAAGGCCAACCTCATCCATCAACATCAGCGGACGTCCCTCGAATGCGTTCTTCAACATCTTGAAGATCCCGATCAGCTGGTGCCACTTTGGTGACAACTTCACCCGACCGTCATTCTCGCCCTCGACGTAAGGACGCGCGAACCACGCTGCATCCGTCCACGGCGTCTTGACTCCATTCTCGTCGATGAATTCGTTGAAGGACGGGAACCCCTCCTCCTCCAGGCCCAGTGCATTCCGCACGTCCCTCTCGCTCCAGCCCTGGTAGTCCTCCGTCCCCGACTCCCATTCAATCACCACCGACTCGTCCACATTCATCATCGGCACTCCCGCCCCCTCTCCATCCAGAACATCCAACTGGACCTCCAGCTCCCACTCCACCTCAGCGATGTCGTGGTCCCCAGCCAGCCTCAACAACGCCTCCCGCAACGCCTTGCTCATAGCTATCTCACAATGTCAGCATCAAGTCCAACAGCTCTACACACAGGTCTCACTCACTTCCTGTCGACTTCCCCTCTTCATCCACTCCCAAGCACGCCCGAATCTGGCTCAATCGCTCCCGCTGCTCCTCCAACTCCTTCTCAGCCGCCTCGTCGCTGAACATCTTGTACAGCCGCATCAGCTTCGAGCTGTCCCTCAAGTACTGCTTCAACTTCGCCGCCGTCACCTCCCCTGCATCCAGCTCTGTGTAACAATCACGTAAGTAATCAGTCACTCTCCAATCCACAGCATCCAAGTGTACTCACCTCCAAATGACATCTTCACCTTCGCCTTGATCTCCTCCAAATCCTTCACGTCCTTATTGACCGCCTTCGACATCGTGTTCCACGCCGCCGCCAGGATGATGTTGGCAACTCCAATGACGCTCGTATGCATGATCGTGTAGTTCGACTGCTTCGTGCAGATGTCAGTGCCCCACAACGCTTCAGCCAGCTCTTGTCGAGTGTCGTCCAACATCGCCGCCCCCATGTCTGGCAGCTGCACATCACCCAATGTCAGCCTTCATCCTTTTGTCACAATAGGTAAGTCATACCGTTCGTTCTCCATGACGCCGAAGCAGTGATGCCCGGTCTCTCTCATTCTCCTTCAACACCTTTCCAACGATGGCGTTGATCTTCCACGCCTTCAACCCAGACCTGATCGCTACCGTCCACGTCGCCCGACCTGTAGCGTGCGTATCCGTCATCCGGGTCTTCGTGAACTCTTGACGTTTCGAGGCGAGCGGCATCGAGCAGAATGCATCCACGAACGCCTTCACCTGCGCCCGAGCAGTCTTGTCCCACTTGAAGGGATGCTTCTCGTCGTCCGGCCAATCTTCAGCCCAGGGAGCGCGAGTGAATCCCGTATGCTTCTGCCAGACGATGAACGACCACGGCGCATCGGGCACCGGCGGTTTCATCTCCCGGAAGACTCTCGTCATCTCCAGCAGACTGGAGGGGACAGTGAACGAAGGCATGTCGATTACGATTTCTAGATAGCAGTCTCAGCAGCAGTAGTAGCAATAGAGAATGTGGGGAAATCGAATCCTGTCAGACCCCTGCCCTTTTAAATCATCCCCTCACCGCCTCATGTCATAAGAAGCAAACTTTGCCATCATTCATGAGGCCGCTATTCATTTCAACACATCATGCCGATCACGCTAAGCATATTATCCCTGCAGGCAATCATATTACCCATCTTCTATTATATCCCATGCCACCCCGCCCACTCCATATCCAGCTAATTCCTTCACCTTATTACTCGCTAAACACCTCATCCCCAGCTTAACCGACCGCACCAGTCACCAACCATTCTTCCATTTATGTCATCCCGACGTAACAGTCTCAATATAGCTTGATCTCCGTCCTGGAAGGAACCGCGCATGCGGAAATCGCGTGGCTAATCGTGTGCTTGCCTCAGAACAGAAATTCCGTCCTGGACGGATTGCGCGCACCCAGCCATTCGGCGTCTCTTCACGAGGCCCATGTGTCCCCGCCTGTATTCCGTCCAGGACGGAATGCGCTCTTCACGCCACTGTGCAATCACATGATCACCATTTCCTGATCGCTCGCCCACCTCGCTGCACGCACTCCGTCCAGGACGGAATCTTCGCACTCATGAATTGCTCTCACACATTCTTCACTGCACGCATTCCCTCTTAGACGGAATCTCCTCCCACTCTCATCCAACCTACGTTTCTCCACGCCTTACCACTCACACCCATCGTTACATTTACATCTCGTTATTCATTCTTGTGTCACTTACACTCAATGTAACATACATGTATCGCTCTTAAGAGACCCTGCATCTTTCCCCTAGAAGTATGCAACAATCAGATATGTGTTCAAGTGTCTAAGAGCCATTGACGGCCACAACGCTCTAGCTTTCTTATATGGGTAGATGAGAAAATGCTCATCGGCACGCTGTTTCCTGACAGAAACAGCGCACCGACAATCATTTTCTCATCTACCCATATATGCAAAACTCAGAATGCTATGGTCGTCAACGGCTCCCAGTCGCTCAACCAAATACTCTCATTCTTTCACACTTTTAAGGCAATCGATCAGTGTCTCTTATGGCACATACACTACATCATATTATCATACAGTGCATGTCCATAGTTCACTCCTCCTTATCCTTCACCCACACATAATCACTCATCATCTCTGCCCACGTCTCCCGCCACTCCCCCTCCCTCTTCACCACCTCCTCATTTCGCCTCACCAACGCCTTCAAGAACCTCCCCAATCCCTGCCGACTCTCCCCCAGTCGCTGAGTCTCCTCTCTCACCAACTGCGTAATCATACTCAACATCTCCAACCGCCATCGACATTTCCATCCCAACCGCCTGATCTCCACGCAATCCGGCTCAACCTCCCCATCCTCCAACTCCTCTATCATCTCCTCACACTTCTTCATCTCCCCCTTCATATCCCACAGCATCCACTTCAGCACCTTCATCGCGCACCAGTCCTCCACTGCACACTGTCGTCAGCTCACCATTCATCCGCTCATAATTCCCAATTGTACTTACAGCCTCCAACCTCCAATCCCTCCTCATGTCGCGCCGGCTTCAACATGTTCTCCTCCGTCCACTTCTCGAAGGGCCCTAAACTCTCACTCATCAGTATTCTATACACATCTCGTCTGCACACACAACTCACCTTCTTCCACATACCCATTCACCCGCCATCGAATGACAGGCAGATTCTCCATACACTCGTCAGCCCCTACTCCTTCCTCGTCAGTCCTTCTCTTCAAACCCTTCAACCAACTATCCATTCAAACTTACCGTCAATCCACAGTCGCCCCACAGCCTCTACAAACCCCTCCCCCCTCTTCATCTCAATACTCCCCATCATCTCGATCCCCCCCTTCTGTTTTCATCTCGTCATCTTCCCATCTCGCCACTCGGTCAATCTCTCAGTACTCACCTCCAATCGCTCACGCAGCACCCAATCGTTCTCCCACCAGTCAATCTCGTGCTTGAAGCAAGAATACGTCTCCATGATCGAGAGTCTGCGAACATGCCCTCCCTCTCATTCCCTCTTCATCTATATACTTTTTCTCTCCTTCTCTTCACATATTGTCTGCCGTCACTTTCTTCAAATACTCTAGTCTTCTTCACGTACGCCGTCATCAATGTAGCCTAGAATACATCCAATATATTCCTTCCATCATTCACGTTTAGCCTAGATCCTCTTCACCTCATTTACACTCCACTGCTAATCTCCTCGCCCATCATCACATCCTTCCTTCATTCGGTCTATTCCATCTTCGTCACATTTTTTCTCACTCGCAACTGCCGCATGTCAATTTAGATCAACGGCATTCTCATCATCCAATAAACAGTAACCTCATGCACACAGAATTCCCTCCAAGACGGAATGCATGCACCCAGCCCCACCGGAATCCCGTTCTCACTGCATTTACATCCATCTCCACAGAATTCCGTCCAGGAGGGAATCTCTGCACCCATCTCTTCGGCGCTTCTCCCACCCATGTCTGCCGCTCTCTCTTTCCATCCTGGACGGAACGCTCACCTCACACCACCGACGTCCATATGCCCCTGCCCACAACCACCGACCCTGCCCCACAGATGCCCAACCCTGCCCCCTAGCCGCCCAACCCTGCCCTCTAGCCGCCCAACCCTGGCCCACAGATGCCCAACCCTGGCCCACAGCCGCCCAACCCTGGGCCCTAGGCGCCCGACCCTACGCCAGCCCTAGGGTCGGACGAGAGTCCCCATAACCTAAATGGAGGCAGCAGGAGGAGATGGAGGAGTTGGAAGAGTTGGAGATGGTGGAAAGGAAAGTGGAGGAGAGGACACTCTGGAACTTGAAACCTGGGGCCTGAGAGGAATAGGATTGGAAGTCTAAGATAAAAGATTGTAAGTTGACAATATGGATTAAAAGTGCAAAGTACAAGCTTACCTCTTGAAGACTTGAGTTGGTATTAGAACCAGAGTCCTGAAGGGCAGGAGGGGAACCAACACCAGAGCCAGAAGTCTGATAAAAAGTTGTGAGCTCTTTGAAAGATATTTGAAAGAAAAACAGTGACTCACTTCAACTTTCCAGATTCCTTTATATTTTGTCAAGTGTCTGCGCAGATTGTATATATTGAGATAGCCATTGGGATCACATTTGCCACTATCACACTGGCAGAAAAACTTGTTATCTTTGCCTTTGGAGATGACAATGACACCATCAGGTAAGTTGAGAGTTCCAGTTTGAACACAGTTACTTCTGTGAGTATCCAACTGAGCTTTGGTAGAAAAAGTAGCTGAGTTGCAAGAGGTACAGGGAAAAGATGTTTTTGTTGATTTTGGAGGCATGCTGGAGAGAAACTGATGAAGCAGAGAGATGAAGTTGGATGGCTGGATGGTGTTGGTGAAAGGAAAAGAGAAGAGAGAGGGATCTTGAAGTCAAAGGAACCAAGGAAGGGCCAGGGATCCAAGAGAGTCTAAAAACCCAAGAAAAAAAACCAAGTGGGGGCAAGTCCAAGGTGATGGTCCAAGTCAGTCTCTTCCAGAGGTCAATACACAACCCTCTCAGAAGAGTCGCTCACTGACACCTGAAAAACAATACTGCTCCAACCAATGAACAATTCTTTTCAGGAAAACGCCCTGCGCTCAACGGGGTTACCGCGATATTGCACTGGTGCGAAGCTTTAGCCCCGGTGACCGGCAGCCAAGTCCCACAGAATGTCAAAGAGAGGGAACAGCAAGCAAGTAACTACTATCTAACAGTCAGTCTAAGCTAAGTAATAAGCTACAAGCTATGCAAACATAGGTTAGACATGGCTCAAAACTCAAAGAGATATAACACAACATACCTTTAAAGCAAAGTAGCCTGCAAGAAGCAGCTAACAGTGTGCAACAACAAGAGTTGTGCTACAGAGGATGAGGTAGAGCAAGAGTTTTGACTACAAAAGGGAAAAAAGATCAAGTTATAGAAAGTTTCAAAGTGAAAAATAAACCATCAGACTTACCTGCAAGATAGCCTAGTCAATAGAGGTAGCAGCAGAGGTTGTAACAGCAGTCAAAAGTACAAAGACAGAGATAGAGTGACAGACAGATAGTGGGGGGGAGGAAGAGTGGGGAAGGACTTGGTGGGAAACTGGGGCCTCTTATATAGGCTGAGGTGTGGCAGTGCAAGGCCAAAGAGTCCAGGCCAAGGCTGGAACAGATGACATCATAGACATAATCTAGGCCAAAGCTCTAGAATAAAAGCCTATCAAAGTGACATCATAGATGACCTCGCCAGCAGTCCAGGCCACTAGAGCTTGCATCTAGACCTATGATCCTTCAAAGTGACATCATAGATGATGTCATAGATAGAGGCCTAGACTTGTATGACTCATCAAACTTTCATGAAGTGGAGGCATCTCAGCTTGGACACTTGTCTGAGACCTGCAGACCTGCTCGATGATTCGCCTGGACGAAAATGGCAATTGAATAAGGTATGGGAAAAAGATTCTGAAGGCAGATCTGTGCTCTCCTCATCTGCAGCTTTCCGACGGTATATAAAAATTGCATATTTGTGTGATGGCCATATTTTCTATCGCACCGTGTTTTTTTCAGTATTTTGCATTTACAGCCTTAACCGCTTATCGCGCGATAACTCTGAGACGATATACGAATAGCCGCAGTGCGAGGCTATGACTTTCATATATGTCCCAAAAAGGAAATGCTGACATAATATGGCCGCTTTTCCAGCTTCCTATGTCACATGACCGGCCTACACCAGCTGGTGCACCGGCTGGCACCAGCTGGTGCAGTCACATGACCGGCTGGTGCCAGCTGGTGCAGTCACATGACCGGCTGGCACCAGCTGGTGCACTGGCCGGTGCACCGGCTTGTGCGGACTTATAGGTATAAGTCCCCCTGTAAGGAAGCTAGATTTCACTAATAGTTCGCTGCTACTCTATTCTGCACTCTCCCAACCGACCGAGGTCCGATCACATTTGTCGCTCCTGTGTAAGCACCACTCATCTTGCAAAGACACTGAGCAGATGCTGATGACTTGGATAGCCCCGTCATAAATGAATTGGGGATTCTATTTTCTTACGAGTGTGGCCTGTTGTTTCATCTATTGCGTAGATGATATACTTGGTCACTTGTCCCTCCTGTATCGTGTCACAATACTGATAATACTATTCTTGATACACTTCAAAGTACTCCATTGTGCAATGTGAGAATAAGATGCATTGCTGAAGGCAAATCGGTGAGAAAATATGCCAGGATGGGTTTGACCATAACGAGATAAAGGTAGGAAACTTCGCTCAGAGTTCTCTGTGAATTATGATATGAAGTTGGTTAGTGAGTCCTCAGAAGGATACCCGCAACTTACTCACTCCAAAAGTACAAATTTGTTAACTGTATACAGATGCACCATGGTCGTCGAGACAGAGGGTTGCTTCTAATTGTAATTTATTTCCACGACATTTACAAGCATGGATTTCACGATGTATGGCCTCAATCCAATCGTCCACTTTGGTTGACATCCTTGAAAATGGCTACGTCTTTCATACATACCCCGTTGCTCCCACATTGGACACAAAGAGTGCAATATTGCCCGGGATCCTGTAGGTTGCTTTCATATTGAACCTCACATGGTCATGAATTCTTGCTCATTGAGTACGCAGTCTCAGGCAAACTCTTGTTTACAGATGCTCTTTGTGCAGCCCCTTTTAGCAAGGATGAATATGTTATAACTTCGCCCAACATGTCTTGGGTGCCATTACTCACACTCGGTTCAGTAGACATGCACATCCGGGATGACACCTTATATGGCCACCACGACCCAATCCAATGGCCGCAACAGTGGGTGTACAAGATGCCGCATCTTTGCATTATAGCCTTGCCTCCTGATGAGGATGACGATCCACATCACATCATGTGGTGGCGGCCTGGTCGTGAGGAAATTGACTATATTGACAGTTCAGTCATGACAGACTTTGAACGGTTGAGGCGGTCACATGTCATGACCCTCAAATCTATTACCTCTGAGGTTCTTAACCGTAGATGGAACTTTGTGAGAGCTGATTATGGCTCTCTCGAATTCTGCCTGGACTCGATGGAACTGGCCTTGCAGTGTCTCTCACTTCCAGCCACGTACTGTGACATCATCCTGCAATTGTCAAACCTGCAAAGGTACTGGCTAGAAAGTAATGCCTGGATGGATTGGACGGAGATATACAGGGGGAGATGTGTTAGGATGAGGGACTCGCCATATAGCGTCAATCATAAGCTCATGGGTGCATTCACCTCGGACCCTGATACTGTGCAGAAGCTGTACCGTGGTGGCATTCCAGTATGGTACATTCGATGACAGGAAAGTATTTCAACTATGGACACCGTCTTGGAATTTGCGTCTCCTGATCTCCCGGAACATCATGATATCAATCTCAACTGTGACCGCTACCCATCTCCATCAATCTACTCAGGACCTGTTGGCTTGGAGTAGCTTATAGCGATAACATATCGTGCTTCCAAATACTTTGACTTCCTGGATATCTGAATGGAGAGCGGCTCTTCCCTAATCCCTCCAGCCACCATACCCCTCTCTCCTTTACTGCTCTCTCCTGCAGAATCCAGTGTCAGGGCTCTGCCTTCTCCTGCAGAATGCGGTGTTAAGGCTCTGCGCTCGCATGGCAGAGCAAAGTCTAAGGGGCTGAGAACCCAGAATCATCCATGTGAGTGTGTCAATATTTGCATTTGCTGGATGATAGACAATTTACGCGAGCAATAGATTTGAACTCGAAGCAACCATCTGATATAAAGAAGCCAACCAACCAACGGCCAACTCGGGACAAGTGGCACATTCCTGTTGATCCCTTTCATCCCCAGTCCCTCTCACAGTGGACCCAAGCTCTTGCTAACGTTTCACGCACAACTTCTCCGGCAAGCAAGTCTTACTACTGGATTCCTGAGCCAGCTCTTTTTATAAGTCCTGAGAAGGATATGACCAAGTATCGTTACTTCACAAGCTGGCTTCGAATCCGTGAGCCATGGTATGTCATCATAGTCAAGGAATACTCTCAACAGAGTTCAATTGCGCTGCAATTGTGGCGAGATTATCTCACTAGCATTCCCACTCAACTCCCTATCACAGACACTCAGTCTTTCCGGAGAAAAGAGCTTGTTCTTCAAATCATACAAAGTGCTTGCCGAAAGGAAAACCTGGACCTCTACCGCTGCACAATGCCAGAATGGCTGAAACAACGTTTCATTACCCTTGACCAGAATATTTGTCGTGAAATACTCTGGGAAGCTTATGAGATGGGTTTCCGCATCGAGCTGCAGCAACTAGACCACCAATTATGCCCTGTCGTAGTGCCCATGGAGATGAAATGAGCAGCCCACGAAGCACGGCGTCGCAGGCTATTAGCTGCTGTTTGGAGCCATGGATACCAATTACCTCTTAATGAGAGACTGACTGACATTCGAGGTCTAGCTGCACCCATTTTGAGCGACCGGCTGGGTGCTTTGGAGGCATTCCGTTGCATTGTCAATCGATGGCCTGAAGTGCCCGCCGAGCTCATCGAAAGGCCATTCACTCCAGAGGAGTCAACCACATTGGCCCTTCAACGTGAACGGACCCTCATTATGTACTATTTACAGATGGCATATAACTGCTTTGGACGCCCAGCTCTTATTCCACATATGTTTCCCCAGTCTTAACTTACTCCAGGTCCTTTGTTTCATGTCCCAATTTTGATATCGTTCTTCGACCATTCGCACCGGCCTTACTACGTTCATAGCCGTCTACAATCTTTATTCTCTTTTAGCAATCACCCAGACAGCGATGTACATAAAGGAAATATATGCACCTATGAACAAAATGACAAAGTTAAAGCTATTTAGTATTTCCTATGCACGTTGGGACATCCGATATCAAGGGGCACAATGACCATCCAGCAGTCTTCACGGGTCCACATATAACCCCAGAGCATTCTTCTCGCCAAGATTAGAAACGTGTTTACCACAGTGCCCCGAAGCGCTTCATTCTGAGGGTGAACAATCTTACCCAATGATGTTCTTTTCTAACACTTACTCATTATCCGCCCTCATACATACAATGGTGCGACCCTGAAGTGACATTGCGAATATAAGCATCTCAAAATGGGATACATGTTCTCGCCCACCCGTACTCACCACATCAAAGTTACCAGTTGTGCCATGCATGGAAGTTTGGACTAATAGTCTGTTCTTAGTTGTCAGACGACGGTGGACATACCTGTTTCATGGATCATCGCAATCACACTACACAATTGGCGACCCGGTATACTCTTCATTTCTTCAAGCTCCACCATTCATGGAGTGCTCTAGTG